CTCGCTATTCCGATGAACCTGTAAACTTAATTCCACAAGAAGTAAGGGACATTTTGGAAATAACAATGGAATAAGAAACGCAATTTGCATAGCTCAGATTGCATAGCTTATTTTGAGCTATGGGTACAGTGTAGACCAGTGTTTCCCAATTGGTGCTCTGGGGAACCCTGGGGTTCCACGGAGCAAAACGAGGGGTTCCGCGAGGAGCTGGCGCTCCCCCGCCCCCTCTGAAAGAGAGAGAGAGAGAGCCGGCTAGCCAGCAGAGGCATGGGTGGCGAGTTGTGTGGGCTCATGGAGCCCATGCTCTAGCAATATCTGGAGCTGGAGCTGGAGCTGGAGCTGGAGCTGGAGCTGGAGCTGGAGCTGGAGCTGGAGCTGGAGCTGGAGCTGGAGCTGGAGCTGGAGCTGGAGCTGGAGCTGGAGCTGGAGCTGGAGCTGGAGCTGGAGCTGGAGCTGGAGCTGGAGCTGGAGCTGGAGCTGGAGCTGGAGCTGACCAGTGGATGGGGAGACGCCCGGACGTGATGTAATGTCATGGCCCAGGATTTTAAACTTGCTGGGCGCTGTGATGCGCCGCATGACTGAGTTGCGGGTTCGGAGTCCGGGGACAGAGCACAGACTCCGGCCCCGCAAAGTGGAAAGCAGAAGGTACGGGAGAGGGAAAGGGGAGGGGGAGGGGAAGAGGGAGGGGCTTGTGCAGAAGGACAGGGGAAGGGCTGGGAGAGGAAGGTGCTTGTGCGGAGGGGAAGGGGAAGGCACCAAAGGGACAGAGGTGGAGGAGAGACAAATGGCAGGGGGCCAAGCGCAGACAATGAGGAAAAAGGCAGGAGGGGAGGTGTCAATGGGAGGGGGAGAGGGTAAGGGTATTGGGGACTAGAGGGAGGAGGGGGAGGTGCTGGGAGAAGGCTTGAAAGAAGGGGGGGGCATGAGGAAGGCCGGGATGGAGCAAGTCATGTGAGAGGGCACAGGGGCATGAGGGGAATGGGGGCAGAGGGTGGTGAGGGGTGGGCATCAAGGAAAAAGGGGGCAAAGTGGACAGGGGAAGTTAGGGAAGGGGGAGCCACCAGGAGGGGGCAGGGGTAAGAGAAGATGCAGGTGCCAGGGGATTCTGGGGGTGAAGCAGAAGGGCAGACACCTACAGGGGAGGGACCACCATCAGAGGAGAGACGCAGGGCAGGTTTATAGCGGGAGGTGTTAGAAGAGGGGATGAGGAGGAGTAGCTCACATGATCAGAGTGGGGCTACTGGAGGAGTGGGCACAAAGATGAGAGAAGGGCGGGTGGAGGGAGGCAGGTTGCAGGAGGGCTGAGGACAGTGAGAAGAGTAGGAGTCAGGACAGCAGACAGGGAGGAGAGAAGGGCTGGTGGAGGGGGGCAGGTTGCAGGAGGGCTGAGGACAGTGAGAAGGGCAGGAGTCAGGACAGCAGAGGAGGGTGAGAAGTCGGGCGGCAGCAGGCAGCAGGGGAGCTGACATGGCAGCAGAGGGGAAAGGTTGAGGTTTAAAAATATTTATTAATAACTTGGGTGGCACATCCAAACAAGACACATGAACTCAATACTGGTGCACAACACAATTAATTCTGCTCATGGGAGGAAACTCTTAGAGGGAACACTTCCCCCATCCTCTCCGCCCCCGAGTTAATGTCACGCACATTGGGTTAATGCAATTGCGGGATAGTTGCATGAGGAGGTTTGGTGGGGGCCAAACTAATCACTATTGGTAGGAGGATGGTGGGAAAAGTCCTTAGAGGGGCATCACATGACACCTTTTAGTTCTGGTCTTGTGTCCATCTTGCCCCGAGAGTGTTACCTCCAGAGGCATGGCTAATGGGAGTCCGGGAGTGTGGCTAACGGGGGTCAGGGACATGGTTAACAGGGGTCAGAGGTGTGGCTAATGGGGATCAAAGAGTACATTTTAAAAAACTTTGGGTGCACACCCTAATGAAATGTGCTGAGCATGCCTATGAAAATATTGTTGTAACTTTCATTGAAGTTTTTGAGACTGCGTCAAAACGTCAAAGAATGACAAACAACGATAACCATGGCCATGATAACTGACGTAAACAAACATGCTGTCCCAGTCGTCCCACTCTCCGGTGGTGCACGCCTGCGCAGTTGCGGGGGGTGGCAAGTCCCTTTTTTGTCTGGCAAGTAGGGTTTTGCATAATTTGTCGAGCCCTGCTAATTAGAATTAGTTCTTTATTCTGTTTTTGCAAAAACTGAGTTCTTGTTGGCTAATTTGGCTATCTTTAGGTATGCATTAGGTAAAACTTTAGAAGTCATTTCCAGGTTACCTAAGCAGTCCACTTAAATTTGTTGTGGTAACATGAAGTCTTGATTTTTATTCCTTCCTCTTGGGTTGAGAGGTTAACAATAATTGATTTCTGGGCAATCAGTTAGTATTACCTAATAGTTGAGATGTGAAGTAATGTTTATAGTGTCAGAAAATTATCTGTGCTACTTTGGTGGCAGTTATTTAGGCTATTGTGACAAATATCAATCGGAGGGAGAAATTAAGAGAGTCTTGAGCATTATGTGTTGATCTCTTTTTTTTTTAAGATGGTATTAACTAAAGAATAAAAATAGATGTTTAAAAACAGAAAATACTTGAATGCTATTCAAATGCATGAATCTTTCATGTATCCAAATTACTATTCATATTTTATTTCTACTTTGGATTTTCAGAAGTTTCAAATACAGGTAATGGTTTGAAAATACACTGGTCTTGCATTGCATTTCAATACAAAGTATTGGTAGCCAATTGCTGATCAGGCTGAAATGTATCCTTCTGAAAGGACTTCTGAACATTCATAGAGCCTGCTACATGGCATTCCTCGCAGGACGGGACCTAAAATAATCGGTTAGGAGATCCTTCTTGGATTGGCACTCTTCATTATAATGAAACATTTAAGATACAAATAGCATGCCTAGCAGCTGTCCCACTCTGTTGATATTTGGCTATAAATAATATCAAAAAATGAGATTTCTTTGACTAAACCATAGCTAGGAAAGAACTATAACTCTAAACATTTGACTAAGAAAGCATTATACAGATTTATTCAAACCTCAATTTTTTTCTCACTACTTACAAGAAATAAATATCAATAATTCCTTGTGTTTGAACTGTGGCACTGATCCTGACATTGTGTGTATGCATTCCTACTGACTGTAGTGGGAGTTCTGAAAGAGCTCTGACAGGAGAAAGACTTAAAACAGGTTCCTCACCCCTCTCATAAATAAAGACAATGCTAAAACCTTTTGAGTTTGACATAATATTTTATTTAAAAATGAAGCCAGGCCAACAAGCCCCCAATTGGGACCAAACTCCCATTTCACTGCAGCATCATAACACTCCTGCACCACCTGACCCCAAATTTGAGCCTATCATACACTGGAACCCCCTGTCCTGAGCCCCTTACATCCCCACACTCCTGCATCCCCACATCCTCAGTCTCCTGCCACAACACTCCTCCACCATCCACACATCACAAATCTATGTCCTGAGCCCATCATACTCACAACCTTCTTGCCCTGAGTCCCTCACATATCCAGCCCAAACTCCTGCACCCTCACATCCACAAGCCCTGGCTTGCTCAGCACCCCAACCTTCCACCTGAACCCAACACTCCCCAGCCTAGAGCCCCCTCCCTGAGTCAACAGCCCCTTATCCTGCATCCAAATTCCCTCCCAGAGCTTCTGCTTCTCACCTCTTCCCACACCCAAATCCCTCATTCCCACCCCGCACCTCACTCTCACTAGGTTGAGACAGGTATAAGGGCTGGGGATGGCAAGGGTACATCTACACAGCAGTGTTATTTCAGAATAGCTATCAATAAGCAGTTATTTTGACATAACATTGAAGGCAGTTGTGCTCAATTCCCCCAGGAGTATAAAATGAGATGAACCTACATTATTTTATATTATTTCTATTCCAATTTTCATGTAGCCAAGATGTGTGTACCTGTTAGGCACAGAAGGCACGGATTCCACTGGTTGGCCTGCAGAAGGTGGCTCCACCGATACCAAAGAGGAGATGTGATCACTGTTGAGAATGAAAGATGAAAAGACAGAAGGGAGTACACACTTCTTTGGTTGTGACTAAGGGATGGGAAATATGGAAAAAGGGAGTTTATTCAAACTGGATTAAAAATTATTCACTTTTTCTGAATGATACAAACAAATTTCCAAACCTGCTTTGCACATCATAAAAGTGCAGAAACTTCTTAGTGAATCTTATACAATTTTAAAATTTAGAAATAGGCAGCCATTTGTTTATTCAGGAAAATTGCCTTAAGAGTTTTTGTTTGCAATTTTTTGGTGTGTCAGTTTCTACTACATATGCCAATATTTTCTGAATAGCACTGACATTTCCAAATAATGGGAAACTATAATCATGTTGAAGGAAACCAAGCAGACAAGCATATCAGCCATTATGCTTTATAACTGCTTATTTTTATATTGGCAAATTTCCACAGAACAAGAAAACATAAAGGTATTACTGGATCTTTAAATGAGCCATAATCTTTTTGGCCAAAAATGTGGAAAATATGGAAATAAATATACCATGTCAGAAATCCAAAGGGATTGGAATTCCCTCTTGAAAAGATTACAAAAGACTTGCTAGGATATGATGGAAATGTAGAAAAATGACTGGAAGGACTGTATTGCTTTTGCTGGAGACAGTAAGCAACTGAGTTGGAGTTGGTCTAGAATTGTTAGATATATTTAATATATTGTTGTTTGCAGCTGCCTCTTTTGACTCCTTTGCTCGCCAGTCAAACAAAGATATGGAGGAAAAACAATTAGCTTGATTGTACCAGAATGCTGATCCTTAAGCCATTAGAAAGTCCCAGCACTTTAACTAATTTTCGGTCTGTTGTCATTATGAACTGTCCTATAGTTATACCTGTAGCTTCTGTTTGGAAGAAATGGTCACTCTACTACTTTGGTCTTTAACAAAGGATACATTCACCATAAAACACTGTCATTTCAACAGCCTTCTTACCTGAAGGGCCAAAGGCTTCCACCTCACATTCTTCAGAAGTGCAGGAGCAGAAACCAAGGTGTTTTGAGGACGTTTCTTCAAGGTTAAGATCACTCCATTTGGGTCTTCCCGCAATGCATTAACAAGGTTCTTTAACTGCCAGCCAACCTGAGAAGACAGCCCATAATGGAACTTTGAAAGATTTCCACTTAACTTACCGAAACATCGAGGAAGTTTTGTGTTAAACTGAAATAGTCTATTAAAATGGAACTGCATTACAGTCCATTCCTTGCAAATAGGAGAATCAATTATGAATTATATTTGATTTCTCTAGGACAAAAATGATGATGCTGAAGCTGGGTTGTTTTTTTTAGGTATTTTTGCTTATTTTTTATAATGGAGAGGAAATCTTATTCTATTCCTAAAGGTATAAAGTAACCAGCAGTTTTGGAAAATACTAATGTAATGCTATAATTTTTTTGTCTTCTAAACAAACTGATAATTTTAATGATCTTTGCCACTGAATTATTATTGTATTTCTCTTTAGGAAGAGCAATAATAGTCATTGAATAGTTACAAACTGTATCCTCTGTGTTTAAACAGAAGCGGTTTATTTTTTGGATGTGGCAGGGAGATAGGAGAAGGGATATCATTGGACAACCATAATGCAACTTCTTTAAGGGATTAATTAAAGATAGTATACTATTTGTTTGAATTACCAACAGTTCCACTGAAAGGAACTGAAGTTCTCAAATTATTATAAATGATAATTACAACACAAAGAAAAGTATCGCTAACTCTGAAGGGGATTTCTCTTGCATCTCTCACTGAACAGCACAAGATTTTCAGGGTTTTTGTTATTTTGCATACATTTTTTTTCTGATTTTACATTTAATTTTTTTTAAGTTAAAAAATGTAAGCTATACATTTTCAATTTATGTTTATGAATATATCTTCTATCATCCTGTAAAGCTAAAAGGTATTTTAAAAAGTTAAGTAATGTAAATGATGGCCTCAATGTACAAAAAAGTGTATGAAAGAATTTTTGAAATATTTATATGATGTTCACATAATTTTAGTAAATTTTATGCAGTAAAAGAAGTATGAATTCTGCCACAAATAAAGAACATTTTTTGTATTATCATTATATTGATATCCACTGGATGTTAGGAGGGTCTTCTTCATGAATTATCATAAAGGAGTGAAAGCCAAATATAGGGCTGTGGTTTCCGGTCCACATGCACAGTATAAGCTATTGTTTATCCTCCAATATATTACAAAATGTAACAATATCTGAGGTACTGGGCACCTTTGCCTTCATGGCACTAATTTATATGACTGTCATTTATGCTAAAGGTTGCTACTTCGCTGTAAATATTCCTTAAATATGAATTTCCGCTCATATGTTCTTAATGAATATCTAAGTATGTCTACACTTGCTCCCTAGTCCGACCTAGGGATGCAAATGTAGCATACCGAAGTTGCTAATGAAGCGCAGGATTTAAATACTCCTCATTGCACGAGGAGTAACAGTTAATCCGAGGGAAGGGGTTTCTTTCGGAATACTGCATCTACATACGACTAGTTAATTCGGACTAATGGCTTTTTAAAATGGTGACCGGACACGAATATGCTAATCAAGCACGGGATATTTAAATCCTGTGCTTCATTAGCAACTTCGGTATGCTACATTTGCATTCCTAGTTCGGACTAGGGAGCAAGTGTAGACATACCCTAACAGAGTAGATCATGAAAGAATGCTGCCTAAACATTAGAACATACAACTTATAATCAGGAAAGCAACATTTAGGTTCTATTCCCAGCTCTGACACCGACCAGCTTCTGTAAAGCTAATCAAGTGTGTTAGCTTCTCTGTGCTTTAGCTTCCCATCTGTAAAACAGCAATAAGAACACTTACCTACCTCAAGGAGGCATTATGGAACACCATGCATGTATGTTTGAGATGGTTGGCTAAAAGCTATTATAATACTCCACATTTACCATAGTGTGTTATGCTATCATTTTTGTTAGACAGTGTAAGCATTTTATAAGAAAATGAGATTCTGAGCATACTTTCTTCCCAGAAGGCTAAAAAACTCCAAATTCAATTGAGACTGTCAATTGTGTCATCTTTACTGTCAGTGTTATCATTCCCATGGTAGCCACTTGTGTTCCTCATCAAAACAATTCTGTGGAAACAATCTCTTTAAAAATCCTAAGGGGATTCTTCAGGGGAAGAGCTTGAGGAAAGTGTATCTGAACAACATAGCAGAAAACAGCAGAGACCTTCTGAAGAACAAGAACCAAGATAGTCAGGATATTTAAGGCCCAAGGAAATACACATGTAAGAGGAAAGACTCTTGTTGTGCAATGTTTTCATGTATTTGTACAGCAACACTGAAATAAAGAGAGAGCTTCAAGAATTCTCGAAAGTTTCCTTAGATAGCTTGAGTATTTTCTTAGAATAATTTATTCTGAAGGAAAATATTTGGCACACTCATCTCTTCTATGCTTTAAATTATTTTTACCTGCACAATGTTGTTCTCTAAACTTTGCTTCTCCTTATTTTACAAGGCAAGCAAAGCTCAAGTCTAGCATGGATCACCACATCACTTTACACACCTGAAAACTATTGTATGTTGATCACATCAGCATCCACATTTCAGTAAAAGGGGATTGGAGGAAAATAGGATTTTTTTGCCAAGTCTATAGCATCAACAATGCTGTCTCTTAAAATTACAATGCAGGCTATTCTTTGTTTTAATCAGTGGTAGAAAAAGTACCCAAAAAAGTTACTCGAGTAAAGTACTGCTTCTTTGAAAAAAATACCTGAGCAAAAGTATTGCATCTTTACTGTACTCAAGTATCCAGAAAGGAAAAAGTAGCCGTCCTATGGAAATATACGATTAACCATCCGAGTTATCAAGGGCACCATTATTTTTCACATATGTATGTATGTGTGTGTGTGTGTATATATATATACACACACACATATATACATACATACACATACATATAATGTGCGCATATATATGCATATATGTATATGTATATATATATATGCATACATACACATATATTATATACACACATATACTGTAAATTTATATTTCAAATCTGGAATTTAAATGTAGTCTTAGCCTACATTTACAAAGTTAAAGAATGACCAAATTAAATACAGGAGTCAAATTACAGAAATGTATTTATTTTGTCCACATTCACACGTGTGAATTTTTAGCATTTTAGCATTGTAATGATTCATTACAAAAATGTTTGTTCAACCTTAAAAGCAGTTGTTTTTCAAAATTATCAGAGTCAAACCTTGTTCTCCTAGGACAAAATATGAGTCCAGAAACACTGAAGAGGCAGCTGAGGCAGGCAGAGGTGTGTTGGCCCTGATGGACACCTCCCTGATTGTAGGAAAGGACCGCAGCTGATCCATGGTGTCTGCTGAACAGGCTAAATACCATCAAGCTGCCTTGCAGTTTCATTTATGCAAGAGGACTTCATTGAAGCAAAGAAGTACTCTTCATCAGAAGAGCCATTCTGCTATTCAAGTGGGTCCAGTAGGATCTCCATCTGTTGTCTGATGTAGTGAAGCCCAGTACTGGAAAATAAATTAATACGAACTAATATAAAAACTGAGGTTAGTTATGAAATTAAATAAATAACATTACAGAAAAATTGTGTTGCCAACTAATGAGCTATCAGATCTAGATGGCTCCTTTAAATCAATCCAAGGATAAATCTGCTTTCCCTCATAACATTTCACTGCAGAACTAAACATGTGACAAATGAATTAAACATATGCAAAATATTAGCTAGTAGGTAAAAAACATTCTCATCCCAAAACAACCAGTCATACTGAAACCTCTTTCTGTCAGCCTATTGCAACGATATTGCATGGGAGCCTGTATTGACAGGCTGTACTGCTTTAACACAGTCTCTTACCTTTTCTAATCACAGCATCATCCTTGGTCCAAGCAGTCCTAAACTTTGTCAGCAAGATGGCAGCTGAGATCAATTCTGGGTCCTCAAACATTGCACCGAACCCTTCTTAATGCCACACCAAAGTACATCTACAAGTAGCCTACAGAACTTGAAAGACATCGTGAGTGTTTGCAGTTTTGAATCCATCTGATATAACGTAGGAACCAGCCATCCCATTTGTGCTCTGGTTTCTGCTTGGAGAATATTTAGTGCCTTCACCACAGGGCCCATGACCACGGTATATTCTGCCAAGAAGGCCAGCTCTCCTGCATCCAGCCTGTAGAATAGTTAATAGACATTGTTAATTAAGGTAAATACAGCACGATTACAAGGTTTTTTTAAACAAAAAGAAAAATAATAAAGCCAAGAACTGCTACTTACATGTTAAGTTTGTGTGCTGCAAACACATTTTTATGGCCGTTTTTCCTTGTTCATTTCTCTCCCCAGCCAGGAATGTAGAGTTCCATCTTGTCTGGTTTGGTCAAATTAACTGAAGTTTCCATTCTGCTTCCACCATTTCTGCTCCAATAGCTGAGTGTCAAGTCTTATTCCAAAGTGCTTGGCATTTGGCAAAAGTGGATCTGGTCAACTTTTTTGTAGGTGTCATTTGATTCAGCCTGTACAACATCTACAGATGAAACTAGGTTCAACAAGTGACAGGCACAATGGTGGTGTTTTGGTAGGTGGTAGTCAAGGCCGTTATCGGTGCCCAGGGGTGTGTCTACATGACACCCTAAACTCAAAATAAGATGCACAATTTGTGCTATGCAAACTGCGTATCTTATCTTGAATCTATTTTGAAATAGCTTATTTTGAAATCTGGCACATCTACACAGTTCCAGATTTCAAAATAACACGCTATTTCTAGCAATCCCTTATCCCTCATGTAACGAGGTTTACTGGGATGGTAAAATAGCACACCCATTATTTTGAAAAATATTTCAAAATAACAGGTGGCTTGCAAAGACATGGAGTAGCTATTTCGGGATACTTCCGGTATCCTGAAATAGCCATGCAGTGTAGACATACCAAAGGACATCTGCAGTTTTGTGAAATTCAACTTCGTTTTCTTCATCATCATTATCAGTTTCTTCCTCTGGTTCCAAACTGCCTCCTTCAGTATTCTGGTGGTTAATTACTTAGAAAGCTTAGAAATTTGCCCATTACCTGTTGTTCTA